AAGTCGGACTCATTTTTTGATGGAATGAACGTAATTGGAGAAGAACTATTTGGTGATACTATGGAAAGAAATCATCAGGTGTATCTGTGTGTATGAGAGATTCTGTTATTTGGCTCGTAAAGCACCTAAATGAAATGAACACCACGAATACAGTTACTACAATAACAAAATATAAATGGATCACCACATCTTATAATGGAATTTTTGAACGGGAGAAGCTAGCGAGGTCGGATGTAATTCAGGTAGAAATGTACTTCTCCACTAGTTTTTGGCATCAAAATAGTTGTGGTGTGGTGGTCTATAGTGCCAAGAGTGCACCTTTTAAACTCTTTTCTTTATCTATGAACGAGGGCACGTGGTTCCTTGTTTGAAGGCTTTTCGATTATCTATCCAAAATCGCTCTGTTAGCCCAGTCAGTATAGACTTTGACCCGTGAATAATTTTTTAGTGGTTTTTTTTCATAGGTGTCTCGGGGGGGTCACTGGGAGTGTAAATTCAAAATGGCGACCAAATCAAGCTTTTGCGTATGTTTTTTTTGTTAAAAAACGGTTTTTCTTGAATAACTCGGCCATTTTTGATTCTACAGAAAAAGTTTGGGAACAAAAATTGTAGTAAATTTGGTTCTCTACAAGTTCTGTCTTTTTAATTTTCCTGATAGGATCGATATTTTGTAAATTAAACCTGAAAAAAGCGACAAATTCAAAAGATTATCATTATCTCCAATGCTTCGCATTTTACGGCATAAATGAAGAGGTTATTCCGCGCAGGTAGCTTGTCTGTCATGTCGGTGTGAAAATATGGTTCCGGAACTATTTTTTTTTGGGTTTCTTAGCTGATGGTCCTGCCAAATCCATATCCTCTCTTTCTTCTTCGGTCAATTGGTAATGTCCAGTTTCACGTTCGTTAAGGTTCAGTGTTAATGGTGCGGGATCGTCGATGTCGTTGTCATCATCACTGTCTTCGTCATGGACAATCAATTGTGTGACGTTATCGCAAGTCTGCCCAGCGCAGTTGTGGCATAAGACAGAACATTTCAGTCCTGCCTTACGACACCCACACATTCCTCCGCAATTTTTCGTGCATTTGGGTACATATTTTCTGGTTAAATTCCGAAAATATCGATTTTCGGAAAAACAGGTACAGACCAAATTTGTCCAAAATTTGATTCTCTACAAGTTCGTTTCTTCTCATTTATGGTGTAAAGTTGAGAATAAACGAGATAATGATGAAATTTCGAATGAGTCGTTTTTTTAGGTTTAATTCCGAAAATATCGATTTTCGGAGAAACAGGTGGAGACAAAATTTGTCCAAAATTTGATTCTCTACAAGTTTGTTTCTGTTCATTTATGCCGTAAAGTTGAAAATGAACGAGATAATGAAAATATTTCGAATTTGTCGCTTTTTTCAGGTTTAATTTACAAAATATCGATCCTATCAGAGAAATTGTAGAGACCAAACTTGTAGAGAACCAATTTTTGTCCCCAAACTTTTTCTGTAGAATCAAAAATGGCCGAGTTATTCAAGAAAAACCGTTTTTTAAAAAAAAAAACAGATTTCGAACATACGCAAAAGCTCGATTCGGTCGCCATTGTGAATTTACACTCCCAGTGACCCCCCCAAGACACCTATGAAAAAAAAAACCACTAAAAAATTATTCACGGGTAAGGTCCGTTATTTGGATATAATGACTGGACTATGTTTGTGCATGCCGTTTCAAACTGACAAGCATTTGAAATAAGCTTCAAATATCAATATGTAGTATGAAAAACCTGAATACCATTCAATTTCAACAAGATTTCAAGTAACAATTGTGACAAGTGCTAAGAAATGTTCGAAATGTTCACGGTTCACAATTATAAAAAAAACGGTGTTGGAATTCAATCCGAACGTTATTTACTGTTTCTGAGGTAAACTTCAAACGCTTGTCATTTTAAAACGGCTTGGCAGATTTGCACAAACGAAAGAAAGGCCTTCAAAACAAGGTACCACGTGACCCCTCTTCACGTTTTGGAAAGGAAGTTAATGGTGCCCACTTGATACTAGGCCATGTGACCACAACCAAATTCATGCCAGAAAGTAGCAAAAGAGGAACTTTTTACCTGAGTTTTATCTGATTTCGCTGGCTTGTTCCGTTCGAAAGGGAGAAGGACTTTTCAAGTCCTGCATGTTCCAAATCGCGAGACATGTCTACATAATATTTATTGGTTTGTTTGCTATCATAGCGAGCCTTCAATATTCAGTTTCACGATGAGTATCAATTCTCTCCGAAAATTATTTGTAACAATTCATAATGGACCTGTATACGAATAGGTGTTGGGTAGAATGGTGGTTTCACAACAAAGTCCATGAGACTGTGGCGATAGAGATGTTGTTTCTGAGGAATTAGGAAGAAAGTAGGACATTGAGCCCAACATTTTCTTCAGAATCAACCTCAACATTGATTCCGTCTCACAAGGACTTGATTTTGACCTGATATTCCATTTGTCTCAGCTAATCGATTCCTTCAACATATCACGTTTTTATTTATCACATCTGTCGACAGCTTATAACCTCAACAACACGAGTACATCCTCTAGACATTCCAGGAAAGTCCTCCACTTGCTATAGGAGGACCTCCGTGAGTGAGCTTCTGTGAGGACACGGGCCATACCAGAGAACACCCACAGACATCCGCTGGCTATCAAAAAAGAAACACTATGGGATGTCCCTGCAGTAAGTTCTAGTGATATACCGGGTACATCTGACGAAAACTACAGACGGGTATTAGTTACTATATTCCGAAGACATCTCATGGGCATACTACTACCAAAAGAGCGTTTCCTAAGGATATCACTTGAATAAAAAAGCAAGAACTTCTAGGAACGACAAGGGAACAAGCAATTTATTGTACCTCCACATGAAAAAGTTACTGTCCTAGTGAAATATGACGGGCATCCAAGAAATTTGTAGAAGTCTTGCTCTTTGTGAAGTAGGTAGCAAGGTTGTAATTGGTCAATTGGCTTGCGTAAGTGGTGGGTGAATATGCGTGAAAGGTCATAACATACAGATTTATAAATTTACAACTGATATTTGAAAATATGAATCAAATAGGTATTGAAATAATTAGTAGCATATGTGCATGTCTTCCAAAGTGCTCAAATTATCTCCCATCATATTCTATACATGAATTGAGTCTCTGTCGAGTTGATAAAACGGGAGCTTCCACTTTGGGGTTTGGCATCCACAGCAGTTCTGATCCTATTGATCATATCGTCCCTAGTTTTTGGTTGGGTTTGAAAAACTATATCTTGCAATCCTTCCCCTGAATAAAAATCCAAACGAGTCAGATCTGGAGACCCAGCTGGCCACTCAAACATGCTCCTCCTTCCAATCCACTTGCCAGGATATCGTTAATCTAAATAATACCTCACGTTAGTAGCAACATGGCCGGGCATCCATAATACTGAAAAAAATGTGTTCTTGTTTTTGAGTCTACATCTTCTAACAGAAGAGATATAGTTGATAAAAACATTCCCATTGAGAGTTTCATTAGAAATATAAGGTCCTATAATGTTTCCGCCAATAATTCCGCACCAAACACCTTGACATTGAACTTCCTGCATTCAATGAGGATTATTCTGATAGCAATAATTAGTGCATGTTATGCAAATTAACTCCTCCATCGCTGTTCACCGTTGCTAAATCTGTCCGTAGTTACATGAATGCCTACCAGGGGCCATATCTTCCAACATTCCAAGGGGCCAGTGACAAAAATCTAGTCTTGTAACGTTTTACTGTGCAGTTGAGACTCGATACAGCATCACATGCCCAGCACATTTTCCTTATAATGTGCGGAATTATTTAGAATAAGATATCCTGGAAAGTGGCTAGGAAGAGATAGCATGTTTGGGTGGCCAGCTAGGTTTCCAGATCTGACTTGTTTAGAGTTTTATTTATGGGGATGATTGAAATATGTACTGTTTGAAACCCGACCAACAGCTAGGGACGATTTGATCAATAGGATCAAAACTGATGCCCTCGAAAGCATATCAATGCCCGAAGTGGAAGCTTTAGTTTTATCCACTCGACTAACTCAGTTCATGTATGGAAAATTGAAATAGTGCTACTAATTATCTCAGTAACTATTTATACTTGCTGTTTTCACCATGTTCCTTCTCGTTTGCTCTTATATCATATCAGCGTGAGAAAAATATATAGTTCCATTTGAAATTCTCGAGAAAATTGTCTGATTTTTCGCACGTCATTTAGCGGCCATCTGCCATCACAAGATTTAAATCGACACGATTCGTGATTTATCTGAAAGAACTGGAAAAATCCTTCATAATGAGACCGAATTCGTTGAATCCCGTTACACCAAACTGTAGTAATAAGAGTTTTTCTTAGCGCTATTCATCCTTCCCTTCCTCTTTTATTTTTTCCGATACAGATGATTGGAAATCAACTCGAGATTATGAAAAAAGTATTTTTGACAGGTCTTAATATATCAGATTCTCATAAAAACCCGTTTTTTCAACTAGCGAACGCAATAACGTCCTCTAGTAGGCGTCCTGGAAACTTAAAAATTATTTCCTGAAATTTATCTTGGCCACTCTCCGAGATACATCCGGCGTCGTCCTTCTGAGTGGTACACTCCTTACAGATTTTGCAAGGCCACCCTATATTACTATATTCGTTATAAAATTGCATTCATTTCTACCTATATCACAAGTGGTGAGCATATGAGTGCAATTATTAATACCAACTTGTCTGTTTGTATACACGACAATTCGGTGATAGGGACCAGAAAAATATAGGCAACCTAGCTGTTCGATATTCTATATTCTGTTGTATGCTTCACATTGGAATTTCGTTCATTTGGCGAGCATGTCGGTGAAATCTTGAAAATAAATCATTTTTTGAAATTTTTATAAAATATAATTTTCATCCGGTAAGCAGATGAATGAAGGTCGACCTTACTTGGGATCCTCTACTAAAAGTTGGTATCGAATTTGAGATCTTACCTGCAACTGTCATGGGCGCCGACATCATTTGTGTGTGAAACAGTGGCGCATCTGCAGACACTTCGCACTGAAATAGTCCAGAAATATTACGACCCACTGACATTAGTGTGACGTTGTGGTCATTTGACGTAGTCACCTGAAACAAAGAAAACATCTTCCTATAATATTTCCTTTCGACTGTTATCGCGGATGTAATGTCGCGAATATAATGTCGCGGTTATAATGACTCGCGGATTTTCAAAAGAAACATGCCCCTAAAATTTGAATTTGTGAACCGATTTCAATAATTTTTTTTTTGAAATGTCAAGTACTAAAGGTCTACCTTGGGACAACATTTGAAATGTTTATTCCAATTTTCAGGGCTTACTACGATATTTTTTCTTAGTCGAAAATCGGGATTTTCCATTCGCGATTTTTTTATTGAAAACGTCTTTACGCCACTGGATTCAGAGTGCCTCTAAGCAGGTGTAGCCAAAATTTCATGAACAAATATTCATTAATAACAAAGTTATGACAAATCAAAAATTCGAAAACTCACATAGCTAACAGTCACAAAAAACCCTATATCAACAGATATAGCCATGAGAATATTTTTTTTAATGTTTTCAACAATAAAGTGTCACCAGATGGAAAAAAATTGAAAGCTAAATTTTTTTAATGAAAATAACGGAATTACATTCAAGTTTTCACGCAAATTAACTAAAACTAAGACCTAATAGATTTTTCACTTTGAATCTTAGTTGCCATGGAAATGATATTACAGTTTGACACTTGTGAGAGATTTAACTGTACTATTGTCAATATTCACTTCAACAGTTCTTCGAATTATTTTGTGTCATGGCTGCAAAGGGTTTTTTTGTGACTGATGGCATAACTTTGTTATTGATAAATATTTTTTCATGAAATTTGGGTCACAGAGGCACTCAGAATCCAGTGGCGTAGTGATTTTTTCAATAAAAAAATCGCTAATGAAATATCCCGATTCATAGTATGCCCTGAAAATTGGAATAAAGATTTAACATTTTGTACCAGGTAGATCTTTCAGTACTTGACATTTCAAAATAAAATGATTAAAATCAGTTCACAACTTCAAAGTTTAGGGGGTGTTTCCAATAAAAATGGGTCACACTGTATGTCGCGGATTTTGTAGCTGCGGATAGTGTGTCGTTCAACCACGGCATTCAAAAGTTCTCTAGAAGATGATTTGTCATTCCAAATTCCAATATAGATATTGTGTAGTAGATGTCATATTGATAATAAATTCCATCGTTTGTGATTTTTTTTTTCATTTTCTATGGATTTCCAACACTACTGGTGGTACTGGTACTGGTGGGGGACGTTTGCACGTCAGCAACTAGTCCCTGATGGAAACTTCTTGCAAGCCCCAAGGTGTTTTAATGAGTGACACCCTTCTCAGGTACCGTCCATCAGCTCTCTTTCAGAGCTTTTCGGATGTGTTTCGTAGGCTATTAATGTCCTCACTACTATATGCAGCAGTGGCAGGCCTGACAGCTACCTCGTTAACCCCCATTGGAGGAGGCCCACTGGGTAGTATTGGCCAGATACCTCTTTAACCCCCGTTAGATGAGGCCCACTAAGCAGCATCGGCAACAACCACATCATCATCATTTTTCTCCTGTGTGTTCTGTGTGGGGTTTGTTACTAACTCCATGCGCAACATTGAATCGTGCAGGAGGATTTCCAACAAGTTATGGCCGAGTCAATACAAAATCAATCTTCTTTCTTGAATTTTCGAACATCATAGGAATTTCCTTTCGTTTGCTCCAAAAGATGAAAAAAAGATTCGTACTCGTCAATAATCTATTTTCTCAACAAATACTCGTCGGTGGCTTAACTCATCTTCAATCAACATTACAGTGGAAATGGAACTGTCGATTTGGATGTTCATTATCGAGTCTGATTCTCCAGAAACTGATTCATTAGAGCTGCCATTTCTGCTCGACAAAGAACTGCTAAAAGATGAAGGGAAAGACGTTTCTCGAGATAAATTGAGAATAAACAGTCGTCCATTATGAGCGCAGCTTCTGAAAATTCGGAATTCGCCAGTTAAATGCGAATGCAGGTTGGCTATTTGATCCCAAAGGTCGACATATACATTTTCAATCATGAATGTTTCAGAAATTGGATAACAAATGGAAAAGTAGATGAACTGGAAATCTCAAGGCTGAGAGATATATACAAGACACACTGTTTCGGCTTTGCAAGTCCTATCAGTCGCACTAGGTCAGCTGACGATTGATTCATGGAGGGAACTCCAATAAATGCTACAAAGCAAAGTTCAAATGAGAGCGAAAGATGATTCAGCTCTCAGAGTTATCTAGTGGAAAGTGTGCAAACGTTTATAAGCGGATTGTCTAAACAACTTTAAAATAAGTCAAACGCAGAATCCTATACGTCTGCGCTACAGAGTTGTATTGCTAGGCAAATAGGCGCTCATGGGCCTTTTTTGCCAATTCCTATTATTTCCATAACTACACATCTTTCTCCTAGTTGATATTTTCTTCCTGGCCTTCTGATGAAAACCAGGATGTCAGTCTTCTTTGAAGTATAATTCAAATAAGTAATGCAATAAATAGTATCCTTTTTTTATCTGTTGCATCACTCAACTGATAATTTTACATTTGAAGTCTGATATCTAAATGAAAAGCACATTCTCTCAAATAAGTAGGCAATACCAGCGTACATACACTGGCAATACTTAGCATATAGGTAGATCTAATGGAATGAATAATGCAGATAACTTCTCGAGATTTTTTGATATGATCCGAATTTATTGAACATTACTTTAGAATTGCAAAATATATACCAAGCTGTCTGTGGATTTCATGTTTCCGAGGTTTATTTTATTTGTATGACACTTTTAATCAACTATCGCAATAATTTTTATTCGCAAATGAATCTCATTTTACACAAAGTCGTGCTTTGAACAATGGCGATGAAGAAACTTCATGTCATTCGCGAATTTTTAATTACACCTTTTATGGTAGTACACACATAAAATGAAATGGTACACTGCAGAGCTTTTATGAGGCTTGAGGCTTTCACATTTCTGATTTAAGTTCAAAGCAATTTGTCGTATATAGAGAATGATGGGAATGTTTCAAAATAATTTTGTTAACGGACGAACTCATTTTTTGTCGAACACATACACCAAGTACAGACAAGAAACGAAATGAAATTCATAGAAAATATCGATTTATAAACTTCAAGGTCACATGATCGTGAGCTTGTTCTTGTTGATTTCTCGTGGAGTCAATTTTTCCTGAGTAACAAATCCCACAATATTACATCAAACAATTGAGTAATATCATAGATGATAAACCAAAGTCATCCCCACGACATTTATAAAAATGATCAAAGATCAATCGTAACGGGATATATTTCAGGCTTTTATAAGTCCATCATCAGCCAAAAGAAAGTATCAAAGTTATGGAAATGAAAAAAGTAGACAGACAAATAGTATAGTTAATAACAGGGTGAACAAGGAAATATGTTCCATGATTGTCTCTGTAAAATGATATAAATTCATCATGTTATAAACTTATTTGAACGGATAAGGGTCGGGTTCAAATTTTACAAGGGCCCGCGTGCCCTTGAATTACCGAAAGGTGATAATTGAACTTCGAAACATCAAACTTCATCAGGTTAATTTTGATGCCTCATCAAACTTTTTAGTTTGATTTCTCGAAGTTAAATTATCACCTTATTGACAAAGATTATAGATATATGGAAGTGCCAAGCATGGAATAATAGTATATCATTCAACGAGCGCATAATGATGGCTATTACCCACGAAGATGAAAGTTGCAGTACGAGCAGAAGGCGAGTGCTGTAATCATCTGAGTGGGTAAAAGTCATTATGTGCGAGTAGGATACTGAACTTCTATCTACAACTATTCGAATATCAAAGCAACTCTGAGAGTTCAGAAATACTGGGTGGGTCACGGTAGATGGCACCTTAGACGCTTACGGAGAACGGGACATGAGATCATACTGAAAATTTGGTTACTCAAGTAATTGCTTTTGATCTATCGATCTAAAATATTTTCAGCTCTGCGGCGTTGCCGCTTCTGTCGAAAAGTAGCAACAACTTTGTTATTTTAAATGGAACACCCTGTAATTTATTGCATCTTCAGATTCTCTCTGAAGGGCTGATTTCATCGATGTATCATACTTGGGGTCTAGCGGAAATGATTACAGAGATATAGGGTGTGAAAAATCGACATTTTTCAACTTAAGGATTTTTTTTTGTCGAAACTATTCATTATTGGTCAAAACGGCTTACATGTCCCTATCTCAACTTTTGATTAACTATCTACTGATATTTAATTGGGACATATACCGGGTGATCAAGAATCTGAATTCTGCACCACCCTGTATTTGTTTCAAGTAAATGTCAGTAGATAGTTGAGCAAAAGTTGGGATAGGGACATGTGAGCCGATTTGACCAATAATGAATAGTTTCGACAAAAAAAAATCCTAAATTTGAAAAATGTCGATTTTTCACACCCTATATCTCTCTAATCATTTCTGCTAGACCCCAAGTGTGATACATCGATGAAATCAGCTCTTCAGAGAGAATCTGAAAATGTGATAAAATACAGGGTGTTCCATTTAAAATAACAAAGTTGTTGCTACTTTTCGATAGAAGCGGCAACGCCGCAGAGCTGAAAATATTTCAGATCGATAGATCAAGAGCAATTACTTGAGTAACCAAATTTTCAGAATGATCTTATGTCCCGTTCTCCGTAAACGTCTAAGGTGCCATCGACCGTGACCCACCCTGTATATCTTTGGAAATAATGAAAGATATTATATTGCAAAATCACTAAATCTGATTTGAAATACTCATTAATTTTATCGAAAACTCATTGACAGAAATTTCAATCAACGAACAGCTAATAACTTATTTCAATAATTTTGATTGTGAAAATATGATAGACAATGTTGGATCTACCTTCAATTAACAGGAAAAAAGTCGTGCAATCACATATCAGTCAATCCTACCAGGTATTATATGCCATTTCACTTTGCACTTTAGGTCTGTACTAATCTATTCGAATAGCCCGCACATAAGTGTGAGCCAATCTGCAACTGTCAAGTGTCAAGTCCTAT